AAAAGAAAAAAATCATGGAAACAAAGTCTTTGTAAATAGGGAAAGGTGGAGGGGGTGAAAAGAGGTCTGGGAATGGGGAAAAATAAGAACCAAGATATATCATGTAAGGATACAAGATCCCAATGATGAATGTAACTGTGTTGTATACCTAAAATGTACCAATGAGCTTAATAAAGATAGAAAAGGAAAAAAAAAAGGCTGGGAAAGTGGCTCAGTGTGAAGGCTTTGAAATAAAACAAAAACCAAACACAAAAAGCTTTCTACCAAACCTACTTTTAAAAAAATAATAATGCAATAGAAAAGTCAAGCTCTTTCCAAACACACCTTTCTACCTTTGGCTAACTCCTAACCTCTGTCTGTGTTACTCTCACACCTGTGGGAATTATACATGCTTATCATATTTCATATGCTGTTTTCGTGTACTTACTCTATTAAATTACTCTAATCCTCTCTTAAAGAGATGACCTCAGCAAAAGGAGGCCCTAACTTTTGTTTTCTCTTGAATTCAAAAAACAATAGCAGCCATACTCACACAAACTTCTTTAAATTTCAAGTTAAACTTGAAATGTATAATTTCAGCTAATAAAATGTTTTAATGGTATCACAGAACTTAAAACTGTATATTCCCTTACTTCTAACTTAAACGAAACTTTCCACTTCTTTGTTTTCCCTTTCCCACTTAAATGTCCAGTTTTCTTTCCCATTCCTTCTCCTTATAGGTGTATAATTCATATTTAGATTATAGGTTCTCAAATATGTAAAGGTAGATTAATTTATTTGGGTAGTAGGTTTTAAATAATGTACAGATTATTATAATTGACTTCTTAAAATTGGGGAATAAATGGTTTAAATTAGTAAAAATACTGAAATCAGTAAGGTAATAAGGGAAAGAAAAAAAAACATGAGAAAATGAAAAATGGAAATAAAGTGTTTGTAAATAGGGAAGGGAGGAGTGGGTGAAGGGAGGGCAGGGATAAGGGGAAAAAATGAGAACCAAGACCTGTCATGTAAAGGTACAAGATCCCAATGATGAATGCAACTGTACTGTATATCTAAAATGTACTGATAAACTCAATGAGGAAAAAAAAAATACTGAAATCATTCAATATGGCTAACGACATCATGAGTTACAAGCACAGATATTTGAAAAACATTATACAAAGCATAACAACTAAGATGAGCTCTAGCTGTTGTTAACCATTTCTGAAATCACTTCATCAGTTGTCCTAAAAGGAAGGACTTTGTGATTTCTAACATGTTTCCTGTTTCTAAATGTCTGTGTTCTTGTAGATGTGTGATGCAACTATAGTCCCAAATTCTGTAAAAGTCTACAAACACACACACACACAGACACACCCAACAATGGCAGTTCTGTTAAGAGAAAGATGGTTTTTTTTTTTTCCTTTTTTTGAGTCAGGTTCTCATTATGTATTTATTCCAGGCTCACCTTGAATTCACTATCTAGCCCAGGCTGGCTTTGAACTGTCATGATCCTGCTGCTGCACTCAGCCTCCTGAGTGCTGGGGTTACAGGCATGCGCCACCACACCCATCCAAGAAAAAGTTTAAGGGAGAAAAAGAATGCAAAAGTGGCTGTTAGGCACATTCACTCACACAGAGAGAGTGGAAGAACCTCTGGCATACACCTTCCTGAAAGCCAATCATTACATATGAAGAAGCTCTTCAGATCCAGTGTTTGCATTTTTAGGAATTAAGCTTAATAAATGACTTACAGATTCAGATAACGAGGAAACATACTGCAACATGGGCATGTAACATGGGACTCAGACTTATGTTCAAGCCCGAATTTTTTATTTTTACTCTCAATTCTATTCTACTTAGTCTTGCACATTGTAATACATAGGCCGGTTGTCAATCCAAACACAAAGGAGTCAGTATTATTCCTCGATCACATTAAATACAACAGTGAGTCATACCTCTTTCACCTCTAAAATCTCTACCACTACCAACCATAGCCAGCAACCACTGTCTTTCCCCTGGACTACAGTAAAAACTTCCTGAATCATTTCTTCCCATTTACTCTCATCTTCCAATCACAGAAGCCAAAATGGTCATTTAAAAGCACAAGTAAGGTCATAGATTTCCTGTTTAAAACTATTCCAAGAGTATACACGGCAATCCAAGAAAATCTAAATGGCTAAGACATCTAACTGTCTCTCCAAGTTCTGGTCATGCCACATTCTCCCTTGCTAGGGTCACAGCTAAAAGTGACAGCGCCTAAAAGCCACCACGCTCTTCCCATTTCCCAGGGCCCTAATCAAGTTTTCTCCAGCCCAGAAAACATCTTTCGAGGCTGGTTCCTCATTCCCCAGTTGTTACTACGGCTGCCTTACCTGCCCACCTCTTCACCCGCACGTACTCCGTGATTTCACTGAGTTTGTTCCTTCCATCCACTAACCTCAATCTTCAGTTTCATTTATTATTGTGCATCTCTTCCCACTAGCACAGAAAATCTAGATGGCACGGGACTGTTTGACTACCCTCACCTCAGTACCATGCAGAGTCCATAACAGCAAATATCTGTTGTATAAATTGCAGAATAATATAAGAGCAACCCGAGTTTCAATCATCTATTAAATCCAATATACTAAAATAATAAAAAAAGAAAAACTAGTTCAAGAAAAATCTGATGAAAACTTGCACAGTAAGCACTAATGTACCAAAGCTTTCTGATTTGACTTCAGCAATTTCTGCTTTATCTCTGGTGCACACACACACATTCATACATTCACATAAACCTCATTTGTGGCCACTAACTTTTGGGAACTAGAAACTGTTTAGATTAGTGATCCCCTAAGGTGTACATGCCACGAGATAACACTGAGAAGATCATGAAAGACACAACAAGCTTTTGTACGGGAAGAGAAGTTTTGAAACAGTCAGAGACTTTTGAGCAGTTTGTTTTTACTATTAAAAAAGGGTATCTAGGGCCGGGGAATTAGCTCAGTGGTTCGGTCACCCATCTCACAAGGTCCAGAGTTCTATCTCTGGTACCAAAAAGAAAAAGAAAAAAGGGCATTTGAAGAACAGGACGGGTGTGGACCCAGGGGCAGCAAAGAGATCACCACCTAACTGCTACAAACACAAAGGCATTTTCACTGTCATAGAATCAGTATTAATACGCATTCTTGTGTGGAAGATTAGATCGTTCCTGATTACATTGCAAAGGTATTGTACTACACAGTGCACCCTGTTCCTAAAAGTACATCCAATAAAATTAAGTCAAATACACTTAATGCAATCTTTTTTATTTTCAGTAGTGTTTGCTATACACAATGATTACATTTTTCATGGAGAGTTGGTACATGCACATCAAGCACCTTAATTCTTTTTGTGTCCCCTTCTCTTCCCTCCTTACATCTTTTGACCCTTTAGCCATCTGCAAAAGCTCTATCTCCCCATTTTCTATTACCTATATTTGGGTTTCTCATGCAAGACATGCCATACCATATTTAAGATCGAATGTTGAATTCATTGCATTTAACACTATAGTCTCAAGGTGCAGCTATTTGCCTACAAATGGCTCAAACTTATTCTTCTTTATAGCAGAGTAGTATTCCACTGTGCATAAATGCATTTTCTTTATCTATTCATCTGTTGATAGACATAGCCACTTTCAAGATTTTAGCTATGAGAGAATTTAGCTATGAGAGAATTGTGCTTCTATAAACATGGTTACACGTGTATCACTGTTATATAATGTAATCTTGTTCAGTCTTACAGATGTACTAGAATCTACATAAGTACTACTTCCACTGGTAACATTTCCTTGTTTTTGGTTTTTTGGGGGTTTTTAGTAGTGGAACTTGAATCCGGGCCTTTGTCCTCAGCTACATCCCCAGCCCATTTTAATTTTGTGACAGGCTCTTCTTAAACTGCTGAATTACCCAGGTTGGGCTTGATTCTCTTGCCTCAGGTTCTGAGAATGCTGGAATTACACTTGTTCACAGCTGCACCAGCTCTCCTTATTTCTTTCATTTCAAACTCTATCATATTTTTTAAAGAATTCTCTATTTATCAATCTGCTTGCATGTCGTACTTTTACTTTCAAAAGGAAACTTCTTCACTGAATAAATGCACCCCTAAAGCCATGCTGCATAACATACACCTCTTACTGAGAATATAATCCTACTTGTCATTTTATAATTGGGAAATTGGCATAGGGAGAGATCAACTATTTAATATTAATTTTAATATTAGCACATGAATATAAAAGTCTTAACGTTTAAAAATAATAGCTATAATTCAACAGTCTCACATTCTCTTTTCCTCTTACTCTGAACCTTTTCTTCACTTTGCTAAACCAGGAAGGTTTTCTAATTTGAAACCATTTGATTTCATTCCTAACTTTTTCAGTGTTTGCTATTTTAAGTCCCAGAAAGGACATAAAAATGTTAAGGTGTACCTTCATTAGCACATTCCTCTGGCAGTACCATAACTGTTATTCCATCCGAAACAATTCTTTAAAAAGAAAAATTAAATAATTAAATTTCCTTTCTGAGTCTTTGAATAATGTACTTCATCTAACCAGAGCAAAACCAGAGCAACACGCTAAGCTAGGGCTGTAAGTAGAGCTCGTTTTAATGATCAGGAAAAATTCTGCTCCTATTAAGGTCACCTCTCTTTGTCTCGAATTCAGAATCAACATATTCAAGGCACAGAACTGTAAGCACTTCAAAGAAAAGCACAACAAGAAAAACCACAGATCTCAGAACTCCAATCCTCACTGCACCTGCAAAAGAAAACAAATTACTTCTCTTTAAGGAAGACAGTGTGTGATTTGGGCAGTGAGAATCAGAGGGTTAAAAACTTGGAGAGCCACAGACGTGACAAATAACATTCAGTCTAGCCCCATAATCGACTTACACAATTCACAGTAGGTGGTGGAAGAGACTGAAAGTTTTACCTTCTGTGCAGGTTCTGTATGGTTTTACACTACTTCTTTCAATTCACACAAACAAAAACACAACAGAAACTTACCTTCAAAAATGGACCCCAGCTGATATTCTCCACTGAAAAACTGTGGCAAGGAAAACACAAGTGCTCCCAGTCCTAGCATAAAGGATGCAAATGCAAGCCATCTTGGTTTGTGTCCTCCTTCACCAAAGAATGATACAAATAAAGACAGCAAACAGAAGGAGATATCGTAGCTAGATGATATCAGGCCAGTCAGGGAACTCTTTATTTCATAGCGCTTCTCAATTGTGGAAATGCTAATATTCACTAGGCCATTTACTACTATACCTAAAAGAGAGAAAAGGAAACTATGAGTATTGATATAACTTCATTATAGAGATTTTCATACCACAATGTTGTAAAATTTGGTTGTTCAATTCTTTTGCTGTTTTTAAATGTGCACGTCTTAAAAGTCTCAAAGTTTCAAAATTAAGAAAACCCAGTTTGAAAATCAGTTTGCTTTTTAAATTGTTCACTCAGAAATGTTCAGATGATAAACAAAGCTAATCTTCATTACATAATTAATTGGTCTTAATTCATTTTTCTTTAAATGGCAAAAGTCAGACTGGTACAGTCCCACCACGGAGCCAATGTGCGAGAATTTTCAAGTGTAGTATACTTCCCTGGAGACCTCTGGGGAAGGTACAAAAAGTACAAGTGACCCCACAAGCCACGACAATAATGTTCGTTTTCTAAGCCTTAAACGTGTCTATCAACAAGAAGCACTTATCTTAGTTTTAGAGGGAGAGTTTAAACTCTCAAACCTCTATATTTTTTCCCCTAAAGCTTTTCTTGAAATTGTATTTATCATTAAAAAGTTTCTAGGGCAAAAATAAAAACACAAGTTAGGATTCCTATTTTGAGTAGTATTCTAAATTATGTGCTAAGTAATACATTTATACCTCACATACTGATAATAAATGACTAATATATAAACAAGAAAAGACTCAAAATTTAGTTTTGACTGACTTGAAAATGTCCTACCCTGATAAAGTCTAAATTATGTGTAAGCATTTAAACATTGTTATAAGTTGGGCATGGTGGCGCACACCTGTAATCCCAGCACTCAGGAGGCTGAGGCAGGAGGGTCACTGAATTCGAGACCAGCCTGGGCTATGTAGTGAGTTACATAGGAGTTCCAGGTCAGTCTCAACTACATAGTGAGATCCTGTCTCAAAAAACTAAAAATAAATAAATAAAAATAAAAAATTAAATAAATAAATAAACATTGTTATAAATTGAAAATTAAAAAATCCGATTAAATTTTAACTAGTTATACCCTTTACTTAAGATCTACTAAGAATTGTTTTCATCATCATTTATTAGAGTTTGCATGTCACAATCCCTCTCAAATTGCTTTATCAAGACTATAAAAAGGGAAAGGAGATGAAAAAATGAATTGAGTTATAAAAGCAACTTTTAAATTATTTTCTTTTAATGACAATGTAATAGAACTATAAAGTGATTAACAATTCCTGGGATTTCAAGATAAAGTATCCATAGTACCTAGGAATGACATTTTCCTGAGAACTTACCTGACGATATGACAACTGCACCATTCAAAAGTCAAGTTCCCAACGCACCTGTCACACTGATTAATAATCAGCCACTAACAATCATTGCCTTTATGGTAAAAATTGTCTTTGAAAAATAAAGTCGAAACACCTCTGGGAGACTAGCACTTTAGTACTTTGAATCCCTCAGTGAATCTTAAACTATACAAATTCCAAGAACACTGCTTTTAAAATCGATTCCGAGAATACAACATACTATTTCTATTGTAAATCCATGGAAATAGGGAGCACATTAGGAAGTTAAGTGCTACTACGGTAAACTCTGGGGCTTTTTTTTAGAAATACTAAGTAAAATGTGTCTAGTTTTGTTTCGCTAATTAAGTAGCTATTAATATACCATGAAGCCAGTCTTTCTGGGGGTCATGTTTGAGATACATGGAAATGTTTTCAGTTTTTCCAACTTAAACTGGAACATGTAATTAATTCGCTTTCATTCCATATTGTGCCTTTTGAATTGCGTCTGGACAGATGTGGTTCCACGCTAAACATGACACATTTTTAAGGCGTGTCAACTATCTTCAATAATAATTATAAACAATATCTGACATTGCATATCAAGTGATATAGCCTTAATACTAAATTTTCGAGGTTTCATTTTTCTTTTATCGTACTGGTGACTGACCCTGGGGCCTTCACACTGAGCTACAGCCCTTCTTAATATTTTTAAATTTTGACACAGAGTCTCCCTAAATTGCTAAGTTGACCAGGCTGGGGTCAAACTTGTGACCCCGTTACCTCAGGCTCCAGGCACTACAGATGTGCACCACTACACCCAGCTTTTTCGGGGGGAGGGTACTTTTTAAAAAATAAAATACAAGACATTTCTGTTCAATTTTATGAGCTGTGCAACCCCTTGACACAGATGTTTCAAATCACTGCTTTTGGACAACTAGCATCAAGATATTAATGGAAGGAAAACTTTAGTGGGGACAAGAAAAGTGGAAAAGGAATAACTCAGGCGCAAATTTTCAACAGTAGAGCAGAAGTAGACTTGCTATCAACGAATAACACTTAACCCAGGTAAAGCAAGGGACACGGAGTTCCTTGGAGAGGGGAATGGAAATAAGAACAAGAACTATACACTTAGATTTAGTTTCCCATTAACTTGGACAAGAGCAACTTCTAACCCCCTGAACCCCAGAATACTTCTTGGGGTGCATTTCTTCCCATCAGTCCTTGCCTACTTATCAAAATATTTTGAGACTACGACTTAGGCAACCAAAACACATCTACATACCAAATCCAAACTAAATTCGAGCAAGCCTTCAAGGCATCCCACCTCAACCCCACCCCTCCTGGGTTTGTCACCTGAGAGTAATTTCTCATTCCTTCCTTCCGGCGCCCTGGAGGCCAGGCCAGCCCCAGGACCTTCTCTGTGCTTGCTTGGGAGGGGGCCATTCCTTCTCCACCTACCCCTCACGTCGGGCTCCGATTGCCTACCCCTAGGGAAGGGTTCAAACCTAGACTTAATCTGAGACTCCTAATTGGGCTTAATCTAATGCCTCCACAAGGCTCAGTCTTCCCAGGCGGGAAGCCGGTCTGAAGAGCGGGTCCTCACCAGGCTGCCCTTGGAGTGCGCTTATCCAATCTGCACAACACATCCTACACACTTTTTATTTCCTTTGCAAAGCAGATGCTTTACCCTTATCTGCAAACGCATTGCTCATTTGTGCTGAAAAAAAAAAAGCGAAAAAAGTCCCTTTAACAAAGGACTCTGCAGAAGGAGGCTGTTAGGAAGCAGAGCGGACTGCCGCGCGGCACAGGCTCGCGAAGGAAGGCTCCTGGAGTCCTCCCGGGATCCGATCCGCCGGCTGCGGGACGCCGGATGGCAGAGCGCGAAGGAAGCGGCGCGGCGGAGGGCG